TACGCTAGGAAGTACCCCAGATAAATTTATTATCAGGTAAGTTAAGGAAATAATGATTCTGTCCTCTCACAATTGCCACCTACAACTGAGTGATTCTCAACGTGGGGGTCCAAGGACCAGCAGCATCAGTCTCCTGTAAGAACTTTTTAGAAATGTATATCCTTGGACCCCACCCTAGACCTGCTGAATCACAATATCTGTTGGTGGGCCCCAGCCATCTGTACTTTAACAAGTTCTCCAGGTGATTCTAATATGTGCTAAAGTTTGAGGACCATTATATTTGTAATAACTTTTAAAAATTGATTTTAGAGAGGAAGGGAGAGGGAGAGAGATAGAAACATCAATGATGAGAGAGAATCATTGATCAGCTGCCTCCTGCACACCCCCTATTGGAGATCGAGCCCACAACCTGGGCATGTGCCCTTGACTAGAATTAGACCCAGGGCCCTTCTGTCCGCAGGCCGATGTTCTATCCACTAAGCCAAATCAGCTAGGGCAAGAACTATTATATTAAACAAAGTCCAATTCTAGCCAACAACAGTTTAGCCCCAGAACTTCCAGGCACAAGATATAAGGTGAAGTAGTCTGGTAAAGCTCTCTATCTCCCAGAAAATATATTCACCAAAGATATGTCTCCAAGGGAGACCCTTTTAGAGAACCAAAAGAGGCTGGCTGACCAGAAGATTTACTTTACTTCCAGGGCAGGGAGTACTTGTCTAACAGGTTATGATATTCTTTTAACCAGAAACTATTTTTTTTCTACTTCCTCCCTTTTTAAAATGGTAGCTTTCCCCTGGTTATTTCTTCCCAATTGCATATTGGGTATGTTGGGGTGAAGGGGTAGTTTATAATTTAACTGCAGGTGACGAGACTGCTAGGATGATGGATCTGAAGATGGCTGCATATCAACTAGAGATCTAAATGCTAAAATGCAGTAACTGGATAAGACTAGGTTTTTCCCCTTTGAAAACATAAGTTCACTACATGTAGGTGTGGGCATTTTTTCAAAGTAGATACGTGGGAAGAAAGGTGTTCCTGTACGCTTGCTACCCAAAATGAGAAGCAATACTAGACATTTGTGATTGGTTCATGGCATTCACTCCTCATGCCCTTGATTTACAGGGAATCCATTTGGTTCTTGGGAGATACATCTTAGGATTCGGGAATAGAGCACATGCCCTGACTAAGCCATTCAGCGCATTGCATTTAATCCACGAGCCGTCAGTGACTGATCCAGATATGTGACCTAAGCCATTTCAGAATGCATCACAGCACACAGGTTATTTATTTTCGTCTAGACTGGAACTGTGGTAGCTTGGAACTGCTGGTCCAATTTTGCTACCATGAGGAAAGGAAAACTGAGTGAAATTAACATATAGAGTAGGGAAAACACTAAATAATCACACACTGAGCCTGAGCCTCAATCAAACGATGCCTGAAGCCCATCTAACCTCTGGATTATTTTAATTACACGAGTTAATGATGTTTGGTAACTGTTTAAACCTGTTTAAAATAGGTTTTCTGTTACATGCAGTAAATCATTCTATTAGAAAAGGCAAATAAAAACTATCATACGTTTGCATATGACAGTATATGTGAGTGCAAGTTGGAATAAAAAAAATATTGTTCATTTTTGGGGGGTTACTTATTATATTACCTTAACTTTTTCCCATAGCTTCAATTTATAGTTGAGTTTCCCTTGAACTTACCTCAACAAAGATATGCAGGCCTCTCTCAAGAAGTTCCTGCTACAGAATCCATCACGTTCACATACATTTCACTTTCACCTAGGTAGAAAAATTTGCCAGGCAGAAATGGTGGGTTTGCAGGTATGTGTAAGTTTTCATTAAACCAGATTCAGGTTTGAATTAGTCACACCTCCCTTTCCCTCTAGATTTTAAATCAACTAAAAAATACACACAGGTCACCAGCAGGTCACAGTTCCATTCCCAGTCAGGGTGCATGCCCTGGTTGTGGGTTCAATCCCTAGTGGGAGGGCATGCAGGAGGCAGCCAATCAATGATTCTCTCTCATCATTGATGTTTCTCTCTCTCCCTCTCCCTTCCTCTCTGTAATAAGTAATAAAAAATACTCACAGGCACCAAAGTGGGATTAAATATCAGCTTTAATATATTGTTAAGTGAAAAAGCAAAATTCAGAACAGCATGTATAATATGCCACCATTAGTATAAAAAACTGATATACACACATACATACATAATATGCTTGTACATACATGGATTATCTCTGCAAGCATACATAGTAACTGGTAACAGTGGTTATCTTTGAAAAGTGGGACTGAGGAACTGAGGAAAGAGTGAGAAGGGGGAAAGAAAATTGGTTTTTACTTTATAACATTTAGTACCATTACATTTTTACCAGAAACAGGTGTTTTTCTCCAAAAACAATTTATATATTAACATTTTTAAAAGAAAAAAATCAATACCAGCTTTATTACTGATAGATCTGGACTGGAGAACATGCTTTGGACCTGAACCTGAAATGTAGTTCTACCCCAAGTCGAAAGTAGATATTTATTCAGCCATGTAGTGAAGGGCTACCTTCTTTCCCATACCTTGCTGTGAGAAAATGAGCTGAAGAGCCAAGAGAGGACTAGGCTGCTTATCCATAATAACCCTTTTTCTCAATTTTACCAAGTTATTCCCCCTCCCAGAAGGAAGACTGAAAGAGGGGCAAGTGGAGGTGGGTAGAAGTTTTCTTTCAAATACTTGTGAGAGACCTTTATTATTATTTTTTTTCTTGAGTCAGGAACATGGAGAGAGACATAAGAAGATGACATCATATCCATGGACATTTTTGTTCTCTAAGCCATAGTGGTCAACACCCAAGACTATGGCTGTCCCCTGTGGGGAAGACCAACATTATCTTAGGAAAATCCTGCTTCCATCTGTGGAAGACTGGTGAGCAGTTCTGTGTTTGACCCTAGAAGGCTCTGAAATAAGTCAGAATAGAGCAGTAATTAAAATTAATTCCAAGGCTACATTATACCCCAGACTGAAAATTCACTCACCATTTTATCCCTAATTTATAATTATGTCCAACCACATTATATGATTTAGTTTACAAAGATTACACAATGAACCCCAAAGATAGCATATTAAAATACTCCAAAAATTAGAATATCAACTACATAATGAAAATGCCTTAATTTGAACTATATAAAACCCACTCTAATGATTAAACTCCAAGGGAGAAATGAATGCTCCTAATTAAATTTCTATTTTAAAGTCCAAAGGAATTAAAGTCCAAAATGTTGCCTTTCACATTTTCTTGTTTTTCTCATTTCAGCCATACAGATCCCACAGAGATGTCTGGATAGATGTATGGTTCCTTCAGCAGCCACAGCCTGCGCTGTCTTCATCTTGATTAGGTGTAGTTCCTTCAGGACGTTAGAAGCTGAATTAATCTAACAAATGCATGTTATATATTTTTAAGAGTCCACAGTATCAATAGGTCAAAAGATGACCACAGGCCTCGCCGGCGTTGCTCAGTGGTTGAGCGTCGATCTATGAACCAGAAGGTCACGGTTCTATTCCCATTCAGGGCACATGCCCAGGTTGGGGGCTTGACCCCCCAGTGTGGGGCGTGCAGGAGGCAGCCAATCAATGATTCTCTCTCATCATTGATGTTTCTATCTCTCTCTCTTTTACCTCTCTGAAATCAATAAGAACATATTTTTAAAAAGATGACCACAATATCATCTTCACACCCCAAAATTAGAAAGCACATTAATTCCCAGTCACTGGAAGCAAACTTATGTTACCAGGACTTAATACATAGGACAGAGAAAACATGGGAGAAAAGAGACAGTTTTCTTGGTTTTATCCTCAGCAGGATGCTAGTCTGTCTGTGCTAGCAGTCCAGAATCCATGACCTGTGAACTTAAACTAACTTGGAAGATATTTCCCAAGTGTTTGATTGTATTGCCACACGTCCCAGCCCCATATTTGCAGAAGTCCAAGGCCTATCTGTTACTGTTAATGGAGCGTTTACAGATACCCAGTGTGAAAATGTTGGCTTTTGAGATGCTTCTCTCCAAATCCTTACTTATTTTTAACCTTTTCCCCTAGGCTTTGATTAGCCTTTACCAGTGCCTTCAATAATGGAAGGTACAGTACCCATCCCAATACTTAGTTTTGTGCCACAGTAAGGCTCACCCTTTTGTGCATATGAGTATCTTAGGACCAGACAACAAACAGGATAAAGTTGAAAAACAAAACACTAATAAGTACCCATTAGATTTCTATCTACCAATGCCAGCATTACACTCTTGAAACATCATTAAGCTTATTGATCATCTGGCACTGATTCTAATCTATGTGTCCCATAGTTCTTCTCGGACAACATAAAAGGTGAGCCCACCAGTTTATATGAGGAAGTCTTTCACAGTTCTAGCAAGTGTCTTGCTCACCTCATATGCTGGGACTCAAAAGTTCCCTAAGAATCAAATCTAGCCGAAGCCGGTTTGGCTCAGTGGTAGAGGTCCCAGGTTCGATTCCAGTCAAGGGCATGTACATTGGTTGCGGGCACATCCCCAGGAGGGGGCGTGCAAGAGGCAGCTGGTCGATGTTTCTCTCTCATCGACGTTTCTGGCTCTCTATCCCTCTCTCCTCCTCTCTGTAAAAAATCAATAAAATATATTTTTTAAAAAAGAATCAAATCTAAAACTTAATCTAAACATTCTGTGTCTCGGTATAGGAAAGAAATCCGTATCTCAGCCTGATTCCAGGTTTTTGCTCTTTTCATTTTGAGGTCCTGGACAGACTTGACAACATTTGATAAACTCAGGCTATACCGTGTGACTGAGAACTCTAGCTAAATCCTGGCTTAATGCTCCATTGGGTTGGCAAAGACTATTTGTGCTAAAGTCTGCCTGTAGGGCCTGCATTTGTTAAAACCCACTCCAAGTCTGCAGGTCCTACCCAGAGCTATTGCAGACAACAGAGGTTCTAATACCATTGATGAAAAACCTTGATTTCTCCACTTGGGAGTTCAGTTCCCAAATGCTTGCCCTCTTATTAATTTCAAAAGGTTTCTCAGCCTATACTTATATGCTAAAATGAAAAGTAATTACCCTCTTGATTTTGCAACAAGTTGAGCAATAGATGTAAGAACCAGAAAGGGAGCGATATGTTAGTCTTACTCTCAGTACCAACAGAATTGAAAATGCAACTTGGACAGGAGACCAAAATGGCTTCCCACTCTTCCTCAAAATTACACTTTGAAGCTACCTGGAGAGAAGAGTTAAGGTTGCAAAGAAACTTACCCAGCCAGTCATACTTAACATCTCTGGAAGCTTCATAGTTCAATGAGTAGAGAGAGTCCGAGTGTCCAAAAGAATTAGGCAACAGGTGTTCACCTATATTTAACTATTAACACCAGCAAAGACAGAAGTAGGGGCCAATGGCTGTCAGACTTTACCCTTCTCACCAATTAGATCAATCAATCACTGTCCTGTGGGAAGGAACCTGTAAAAAAAAAAAGATGGAGAGAAGAGCAAAAGCTTTCCTTCCCAAAATGTCTGAGTTTCAGCTCCTTTTTCTTTGGCCAGGCAAAAAGCATGCAGAAAGCGAGAAGATGGTTCTTACAAATTGGAAAGCAATCAAAGACGTGGTGTGTGCACAGATTTTACAAATAGTCTCACATATCTGGCAGATTCCAAGATGACATCTAGGTTGTTTTCACCAAATCGTAGACATAGATATGGAAATCGTCGTCAAACTTGATGAAGTACACAGAGGGTTTGGCTTCTACCTGATGAATGACCATGCCAGTTCTCTTGGAGCCATCGTCTTTGGCATATTCCACCTGTTTACCTACCAGGCTGTCTATGACTTCTCCCGGCTCCCTCTCTGCAGGAGAAGAATCATTGGCCTCGGGAAGGATGCGCAGGTCACCGTCTTTATAATCATCTAAGAGCTGGTACATATAGAGAACAGGATCCTTTTCATAGGTAATGTAAAACCATGTTTTCATGACAGGTGCCTGAGCCAAGACCATCCCCCTCCATTCATTTTTGGAACCTTCCTCTGTCTCAAAAATATGTTCCACTGCTTTGCCAATCAGAATCTCTGTTAAGTGTGAATCACTGATTGTAGATGATGCAATTCTATTAGGAAAGACTTCAAGTGATGACACTCTTTCATCTTTATGCAGCTCCAGTCCATAAACACAGTCAAAGCCATCATATTTGATAAGATACAGAGAGGGGTTTACAGGTACCTGATCCAGAACGGTTCCCTTCCACTGTACCAGAGGCTCGTCTCCGTCTTTCCATCCGTGCCGAATTCTGCAGCCCACGATGTTCCTTGGAGGCTGGGAGGGGGGTCTGCTCCGGTGCTTCTTGTGTGCCGCCTTCCTCTTCATCACGGAAACCGGCACACCGGCATGCCTGGAGCCTGTTCTGGACCGCTGCTCTGCAGCCGCCTTTGCGAACGGCGGCTTCATGCCTGAGAGAAGCACAGTTGCAAGGCAGGCCAAGAAAGGAGACTGAGAAAAAATCAATTCAAAGTATGACACGCTGAGCTTTGTCTCCTAATTAGTGCACTCCGTGCACCCACGCCTAAGTTCCTCCCGAAGGCTGCAAATCAAGGTATCCTGGCGTGTGCCTGCAGTAACCTTCCTCCCAGGCAGGCTCGTTCCAGCTACGCAAGAGAGAGAGAGAGAGAGAGAGAGAGAGAGAGAGAGAGAGAGAGAGAGAGAGAGAGAGAGAGAGAGAGAGAGAGAGAGAGAGAGAGAGAGAGTTGCCGTTAGGGTCAAAGAAATAGGGGGCACCCTCTATTCCTCCCACCCGGCTTCCAACATCGTGCCAAGTGGCACAGACTCCCCAGAGCCTCACGTGCCCAAATCAGGCACTTTGCTACCTTCGCTGCGTGCCTGGAGGGGAAAGATGATCAGCAGGCGCCAAGAAGGAAGCTCGCTGAAGCTGGTGGAGGAGGAGGATCCTCAGACGAAGTGCGTGGCAGGCAGGCGAAGAGGATGGCGGCTTCAGCACGGAGCTCAGGGGCCCCGCTGCGTCCCAGTCGGCAGCAGAGGCCCCTATGCCACTTCGGGATCCCACCAGCCGCTGCTACTGCTGCAGCAGTCTCCTCCCTCTGTATCTCAGCTTCCTGCCAGGAGAGTGGCCTCCCCTTCCTGCCAAACAACGTGTGCCCTCCTCCCCCAACTCTCACGCCCACCTCTGCCCGGAGCTTGGGAAGCGCTTCTTGGTTCCTTCCTGGACCTGCCTCTTTCCAAATCAGGAGCAGCCCCCGCTCACATCCTCCCCCCTCCCCCCCCCACATCTTTCTCCAGTTCAGAGCTCCTGGGCTCCCTGCTCCCACACTACCTTAGCCCAACCTCAGTGCCCCTGCCCCATCTGCTTTCCATCTTCTAGGAATTCGCCCTTTCCTTTACCCCGTGCCTTTCTGGAGTTATTCTTTATATACAGAAACCTGCCCTTCCTGTCATTTAAAGGGATTTGTGGTAAAATGAGAGAAATGCATTAGTGCTCAGTCTGCCATCTTGACCCAATCTCTAGGTAATTTTAACTCTCTGGTCCTTCCCAGACTTTACTTCTTGAGGGTAATTTTTTTTTTTCTTTTCTCTTTCTCTCCCCTTTTCATCGGCTGCTAAAGAAATGTATGCACAATGCGGGCAGAACTCAGAAAATTGACACAGAGAAAGTCAAGTGTAAGCTCACCTCCCATTCCCCCCACCTCAGAGCAAAATATGAACATTTTATGTTGCCTTTTCAATAAGCACTTGCAAAACTGGAATAATTTTGCATATGCATTTTCATGGTATACTCTTTTCCATATAGGATATAGATATAGAATATCAGTTTATTAGATATTGTCTTATGCATTTCTGTAGTACCTTCATTAAAATCGACATAAGGATATTTTCATAATTTAACCATTCTCTCCAATCAGATGTTTACTTTTGTAAGCAAAAGCTTATAAATGATGCTTGCACATGAATTATTAATCTGTTCTTTTTTACTGTTTAAGGTATTACATATGTTTCATCTCCCCCCCCCCACAATTGACCACCCCAGCCACTCCCACCCCCAAGACAAGTCCCCACCACCCCAGTGTCTATGTCCACTGGTTATGCTAATATGCATGCATACAAGTCCTTTGGTTGCTCTCTTACCCGCCCCACTCCCCCGTCTTCTCTCTGAGGTTGCACGGTCTGTTCAGTGTTACCTTGTCTCTGTCTCTATTTTTGTTTGTTAGATTATGTTGATAATTCTATCGCACATTTGAGTGAGATCATGTGATATTTATCTTTCTCTGACTGGCTTATTTCACTTAGCATAATGCTCTCCGGTCCATCCATGCTGTTGCAAATGGTAAGAGTTCCTTTTTTACAGCAGCGTAATATTCCATTGTGTAGATGTAGCACATTTTTTAATCCACTCATCTGCAGATGGGCACCTAGGCTGTTTCCAAATTCTAGCTATTGTAAATTGTGCTGCTATGAACATAGGAGTGCATATGTCCTTTCTGATTGGTGTTTCTAGATTCTTGGGATATATTCCTAGGAGTGGGATTACTGGGTCAAATGGGAGTTCCTGAAGAGACTGTCTTCACTCCATTATATGCTTTTGCCTCTTTTGTCAAATATTAATTGAGCACAATTAGGTCTATTTCTGGGTTCTCTGTTATGTTCCATTGATCTATATGTCTGTTCTTGTGCCAGTACCAGGCAGTTTTGAGAACAGTGGCTTTGTAATATAGCTTGATATCTGGTATTGTGATCCCTCCAACTTTGTTCTTCTTCCTCAGGATTGCTGTGGCTATTCAGGGTCTTTTTTTATTCCAGATGAATTTTTGGCGAGTTTGTTCTAGGTCTGTGAAATATGCCATTGATATTCTAATGAGGATTACATCGAAACTATAAATTGCTTTGGATTGTATGGACATTTTAATTATGTTGATTCTACCAATCCATGAACGCGGTATGTTCTTCCATTTGTTTATTTCTTCCTCTATCTCTTTTTTCAATGTCCTGCTGTTTTCTGAGTACAGGTCTTTTACCTCCTAAGTTTATTCCTAGGTATCTTAATTTTTTTTGGTGCAAGGGTAAATGGGATTTTTTTTTTTCATTTCTCCTTCTGTGAGTTCATTATTGGTGTATAAAAAAGCCATAAATTTCTGGGTGTTAATTTTTTATCCTGCTACATTGCCGAATTCATTTATTAAGTCTAGCTGGTTTTTTTGTTGTTTTGTTTTTGTTTTTTATGAAGTGTTTGGGGTTTTCTATGTACAATATCATGTCATCTGCAAATAATGACAGTTTTACTTCTTTTCCAATCTGGATGCCTTTTATTTCTTCTTCTTGTCTGATCACTATGGCTAGCACTTCCAGCACTATGTTGAACAGGTGTGGTGAAAGTGGGTATCCTTGTCTTGTTCCTGTTCTTAGGGGAAATGGTTTTAGTTTTTGCCCATTGAGTATGATGTTGGCTGTGAGTTTATCATATATAGCTTTTATTATGTTGAGGTGTTATCCCTCTATTCCCACTTTGCTGAGAGTTTTTTTTCAAGAAAGGGTGTTGCATTTTGTCAAATGCTTTTTCTGCATCGATTGATATGGTTATGTGATTTTTGTCTCTCAATTGGTTTATGTGATGTATCACATTTATTGATTTGTGGATATTGTACCATCCTTGCATACCTGGAATAAATCACACTTGGTCATGGTGTATGATCTTTCTAATGTAAACTGTTCTTTTGAAAGAAATAATCTAACAGAAACCTATAATCAAAACAATTACTATAATTATAATGGGAATTTAGTATTTTGACACTGTGAGTTTATAAATCTATGGGAAACACCATTTTTTCCCATTACAGCCATTTTAGTGAGCATGAAGTAGTATCTGATTGTGGTTTTAATTTTTGTTTCCCCGATGACTAGTAATGATGACCATCTTTTCATGCTTGACATTTGAGTATCTTCTTTGGAGAACTGAAGTTATCTGTTCATTTTTAAATTGAAGTGTTTCTGTTGGAAAATCAGCTGAAAGCATTATGGGAGCTCTCTTGTATGTAACTTAATATCTTTCTCTTGCTGCTTTTAAGATTCTCTCTTTGTCTTTAACCTTTGCCATTTTTAATTACGATGTGTCTTGATATGGGCCTCTTTAGGTTTATCTTGATAGAGACTCTTTTTGGTTCCTCAACTTGTGTGACTTTTTCCTTCATCAGGTTAAGTTTTCAGCCATTATTTCTGCAAACAGGTTCTCAATCCCTTGTTCACTCTCTTCTCCTTCTGGTATCTCCTTATGATATAGACATTGTTACACTTGATGTTGTCCCAGAAGTCCCTTAGACTTTACTCATTTAAATAAGTATTTCTCTTTGTTATTCTGCTTTGGTGCTTAATGTTATCTTGTCCTCTAAATGGCTGATTTGATCCACTGCTTTATCTAACCTGCTGTTGATTCCTTTTAGAGTTCCTTTATGTTTGGTGTATTATTTCCAGAGATTTTTAGTTTAAGTGAGAGGAACTGGTAGAAAAGGAGCTACTCCATCTTAGCCATAACTGGAAGTCCCTCAGTACCATTAACACACTTACTTTAGGGTATCAGGCCAGGATCCAAAGGCTGCAGATTCCACTAATGTACTTCTAAGACATGATAATTTGCTCTGTGCTGATGATCATGAGGTAAAAGGCACAAATATATTGCTTGGTATAATATAAAGTTGACCAAAATATCAAGAAAGTACTTTGCATTTTTTATACACTATAAAAATGACCATTACCTGAGTAAGTGATTCTACCATTAAGACCTATAACAAAGAAATAATTGGAGGTGCAATAGTGAATGTAGAGGGCATTTATTTTTTAAAACTACTGTAATATTCAATATAAATCCCCAGTGATATGCTAATGGTTATTGGATGACATGAGAAACACTTAAAATACAAAATGTTAATCATTAGTACATATAACCTGTAATAGAACACCGAAACAGCACATAACACATATTTACCTGTGATCCCAATGTTGTAGAAATATTGAATATGTATTTACACATGTGTGTTTAGTATATATGTGTATATATTTTTGATACAGTGTTTTATTTCTTTTGAATATGAAAGTAGTCCATGATCATGGTAAAATGTGAGAAGTGCAATAGAGGTATGTATTGAAAATTTGCCTGATATAAATATTCAGCAAGGTGTCCTTACCATGCAGCAAAATGATTATATCAATTGAAATGATTTTGGAGACAAACCACAGAAACCCAACTCAAAGTAGATTATGTAATAAATACAATTATTTTCTCATGTAATGGAGTGTCCCAAGTTTGGTCAGGACATGGTTTGATCAAAGCAATCATGCTTTTTCTCTGTTTTTCTCTTAACTCTTTTCTCTTCTATATGATCAGTCTGATTTCTCTTACACTTCACTTTGATGAAGAGGATGAGATTAATGCAAGAAATATTTTAATCAGAACACACCCAAAGAATGTAGAATGTAGTTTCTCCACACAGAAGGATAGAATAGATGTTTTGGAGAACACCATAGTACCCACCACAGGGTTCTATAGTCTTTTACTATTTTCTTTTATATTCCATTGATTGGTTTAGTAGGATTCCTTTCACTATGGGAAAGAGATAAGATTCATTTGGAAGCACATGAAAACAGGACAGAGATTCTGAAGATTTTAATGGCATTGTTGACATATTATTTAACAACTAGTAAAACAGAATTTCTAAGGAGCCATCAATTCTTCATTTTTCCAAGTAAAAGAACACTGGAAATAGGAAAGCTTTCTAATATGCTGTCCAAAGAGAATAAACTAAAAATTAGATACATTTGTAAAGCTATTTCTAAACATTTTAGCCTTCAAAGCCTTTTACAGTTAAGGCTTGACCTACTTTCCAAATTTCATCTCCAGTACCTCTCTTCAATTCATCATATTCTTCAGCCATATTGTACAGGTCATCATACCCAAAACAGAGCACATGATTCTAAGCATTAAGAGTTTTCCTGAAGCTAATATTTAAATAAAATAAAATAAGAAATCTAGTAGATTCACTGACCTTTCCACTTTCTTGCCTGTGGGAGAAGAAGAATGTATCAATGGCTCTTTTCTGCTTTGATAGAAAATTTTACAAATACTTTCTTTAGGAACACAGAGATATCAATTAAAACATTGTTATAAGGGAAAGAAACTATCAAGTGTGACAACCAATCAGAATTACA